TTTGTGTCTCTTACTCTGGTTGACTGCGGGAGGTGGGTGAGGGGGACGACCAACAATCGCAGTGTTAACTATTCACAGTGGAGAATACCTGCTAGCCATTTTCTCCAGTACAAGTAAATGCTGTTTCTCAATTCCAAGCTGAGGTTCAAAGGTTTATACTAACTTCGCAGATCAGAGGTCAGACACGAATTGCTGCAATTTGTAGTTCAATTCTGCCGATATGACAGAATTTCACAGCTACGATGATGATTGCTCTTTTCCACTTTTGCGCACAGGCCAGGCTGGGCAGTTAACAGTGTAATTTGTACAAGTCAGCCCTTGGCACCCAAGTTTAATGAGTAACTAGCTTGGTGCCTTGGGTTTCACTGGTACAAGGTGCATATTATGAAAAGGGTCAAATGTCAATGCACAAAGACGGGGGGGTGGGGAGTGATAGTCTCATAATTACCACCTATGAATCATACATAAAGTAATTATGTTCAGTAATGTGTGTTTATTTTTAAAACCATATTTTCACAGTGTGAATGTTAGTGTGTTCATTTTCTTTGCTACTGAAAGAGGTAGATACTTTTGTAAATGTTAGCAAGAAAGACTGTCTGATTAGAGATTATTGACTAAGCAGTAGAAAGTGAAATAACAGCTGTTTACTCATTTCATGGGGTCTCTGATTTCTCAAAAACTTCAAAATGTGGCAGCTTTTTAAGAATCTAGGGAACAAATGGAACACCAGGTATTTCTGAGCCCATGATATTTATGAGTATCTTACATTTTCTACTCTTCACTCAAAAAGTTGAACTCCTATCTTTATTTCTAACCCAACCCAGGTTGAGAATATCTTTTACTGTTTGTTTAAAGTTGAATATTGGGGTTCTTGAAAAAAATTCTTAGATGGTGGACCTTGACAGTCTACGGATTTGCCATTCATTTTTAACTCATGGTGACTGAAGCTACAGTATATATATGTTTAGAATCATTTGTCTTTTTTGTTATAGCACAAATTTGAATTTTCTACTCTTCCAAACTGGGAAACAGAGCAATTGGATTTTTCCACAGAAAAGAGTAATTAAAAGCATAGATTCTGGGCCGGCCCGGTGGCGCACTGCTACAGTACACCGCTTGGGAGCGCAGCGGCGCTCCCACCGAGGGTTTGGATCCCACATACAGACCGGCGGCTCACTGGCTGAGCAAGGTGCGGGCGCAACACCGAGGGTTGCAATCTGTTGCCGGTCACGAAAAAAGACAAAAAGGGAGAAAAAAAAAAAAAAAAGCATAGATTTTGCTCTCAAACCTCCTGGCTTTGAATCCTGGCTTCATCACTTACAGCCACGGACTTTAGCAAACGGACAGCCTCTCTGTGCCTCAGTTTCCTCATCTGCAGAATAAGTAGAATCATAGAACTTGCTTCATGAGGTTGTAACAACAATTAAATAAGATAATATACGGAATTAGCCCAGTGCCTGGTGCATAATAAGCACTCAATGAGTATTAGCTGTTATTACTATTATTAATATTAATAAGTTACTTAGTTTGTGAATTAGCCTAGCCTAGCCTACGCTGTGTACCATCCCAGCTTGGTTTAGACTTGGTCTTTGCTCTGTTCATTTCATGAGGGACACAGATATGGCATAGTTAGAGAAGTGATTGGGGTGTGTCTGAGGATGCGTTCCTTTCGAATGTCCTGGGGAAGTGTGTTTTACTATTCGTCAGTTTCAAGTCTGGCACTCTTTTAGATGCTACCTTTTTTTCCTTAGCTGATTTGTTGTCACATGGCAAAAGCTGTAAAAGGAGATAAACCCAAATCATCTGGGTTCCTTTGAGTGGTCCTTTCATTTTGGAAAGAGTGAGAAACATTTGAGCTTAAAAATAAGAAATCCATAAATTATACCTTACCAATGGGCTAAATTCTATCCTTGATGATATGTACTACACTTATCTAGAATTCATGCTTTCCAGAAATGCTAGAAATGAAAATATTATAGTGATTTTTTAAATTCCATTTCTTCATTTTACTTCTATGGCATGTAGAAGTAGCATTTGAATAAAAATATGATTTAACTACCAATGACAATATAAAAATTATGTGCTTAACATTAAAAGGATAGTAACAACATTCCACGTTAATTAAATAATTCAGCACTACTATGGGCTAAAATTGGGTGTGGGGCACAAGGATGATATGTGTGAGTCACATCTAGGCCCTAGTAGAGTTTAAAATTGACTCAAGATAACCACTATTATAGCAATTCCTATAAGATTAAACCGTATAAAATTGCCACATTCTACCTTTTTTGTCCCACAAGGTGGCAATTTCACATGGTTCAACCTAGTGCTATGGGGGATTATATGATGTTGCGGGAACATATGTCAGGGAGCTCCAGGATGGTTTCCTAGAAGAAGTGAAGTTTAAGGATGAGTACAGCTGGTAGACAGGGGTATTGGCGAGAGTTTGAAGCATTGTGAATAGCACGTGCAAGGGGGAAGGGACAAAAGATGAGACTGGAGGAGGACCCGAGGTCTTCCTTATAGGCCTTACTAAAGATACTGACGTTTATTCTAAGAGCAGTGGGAAGAGAGTGTAGGGATTTAAGAACGAGGATGATATGACCATATTGTTTATTTTGCAGTTGGTCACTTTGCCTGCAACGAGACCTAGATTGATTGAAGCTGGCACAAGTGGATAGGACGAAGTCAGTTGTATGGCTAATGTAAATGTCCAGACAGGAGCTGATGATTGGCAGTTTACAAGATGCTTTCAAATGTAGTATCTGGGGCTGGCCGGTTAGCTCAGTTAGTTAGAGCACAGCCTTGTAACACCAAGGTCAAAGGTTCGGATCCCCATACAGGCCAGCTTCCAAAAAAAAAAAAATGTAGTATCTTATTTAATCCTTATAACAATGCTCATGTGAGGTATTAATATCAGCTTCAGCATACAAGTGAGGAAGCTGAGACCCAGAAAGTTTAGTGGTATGCCCATGTTCAAAGGGTGCAGGTAGCAGAGTGAGAACTAGAACTCTGTTATTTGACCCTCACCCCAGTGTTACCTGCATAGCCGTGAGAGGCACACCAGTGATCCTTCCTTCCCTTATTATGATATAGCTCAAAACTACACAGATCCTGAGTTTCATTTACATATTAGTAGTTTGCTTTTAATTCATAGAGTTTACATGCCCATTATTATGATACTGTTTTTTTATAAGGGAAAAGTTTACCATTATAGAAAGAAAACTCACAATTCTGCACACATTATATGTGCCAGGAAGAGTGCTTTATAAATATTTCTCTGTTCTCATGCCAGAAATTGTCTCCACTTTATGGAAGTAGAAACTGAGGCTCAGAAAAGTTGAATAAATTCTTCCAGACACACTTAGCTAGTAAATGAGTGATACGGGCGTCTAAATTTTATTCTATTGACAGTGTAAAGTTAATTTCAAGACACACCTCCTTGTAATATGCACATTCATCTCATAGTTATTTAACTCTGTGAGGTTGATTATTAAGTATTATCCAGGATGCAGCATGTAGGAAATCATCTTTTTACAGAGTTGGGTAAGGACCATATGCATAGAGAAGTAAATTGTTTAACAGCTATTGCTCTATAATTTGCTTGAGGGTGTGCCTTTTTTTCTTGTAGGAGATTATTAATTATAAGGATTAATACTAGGTCATGGTTAAGTAGTATCGTTTGTGTTTCTGAAAGGTTATGGATCCTACTGAGTGCCAGTCATTCCAATATAAAGATCGCTATGGCAGAATAATTTTGAGCTGTAACTGACTTTGGAGGTCATTTAACTCTAGAATGTTCTAAACTGTGCTCTACAGAGTCCTAAAGGTCCTATGGTGTCCCTAGGGCCACAGTGGATGATAGAGCTGGAGGTTCCTCCCCACTGATCCCCTACCTCCACTTCAACTAGCTCCTGTTTATTTCTGCATCTAGGTAAATTTTTGGTGGAAGAAAGGGTCCTACAACTAAAAAACAAAGCAAAACAAAAGAGAAAGAAAAAACTTTGAGAACTACTGATAATTCAACTCCTTTAATTTTTGGTGAGAGGGGCAAACTTTGGTTCAGACGAGTGAAATGATTTGTCTGAGATCACAGAGCAGCATATGGCAGAGCTATAATGAAAACTCTAGTCTTCTGGTGTTGGCACCACTGTGCCATATTGAATCTTATAAATTTAGACACGTAGAAGTTATCTGGAGCTTCAGACAGCTTGATGACGCTCTCAGTTGTTGAGAGAGACAAGCAGATTATATTTCTAGAGGTAAAATAAATGTAAAAGTTTTTTTAGAAAACTAGGGTATATTTTAATGCCTCATCTGAAATACCTTTATCTTGAACTTAAATCCTCTTCATTTGAATATTTTCTACATCAAAACTTTTAAGATTATCCTAGAACCCCAAATCATGTTTTTCATAGTCCTCTACATTGCAAAGACCATACTTGAAAGAGTCTTACCTATATATTTTAGGACAGAATAGTAAGTTATTTTTATACCAACTCTGATTAATTGGTAATGGATAGCTGGGGTACTTGTTTCATTGGTTTGGGGGACCCTCTCTGGACTTTGCAGGATGGGTGTGATTATCTCCTAGGGGTGTGTAGCATAAGGCCCTAAATGGGGTGGTGAGGCCTGTAAGCCTAGATATTATTATTTCCATAAAGGGTACTACCTCTCCTTTTTGTGAGTCTATAAGCATAAAATATAGGCTACATCTGTATTCCTTCCTAAACATTATGTGCATCTTGAAGTCATAGGTGCTCTAAAGAAGGCAGAGGGCAAAATACAGCAAATAGAAGAAACTGATCATTTTCGTATTATTGTTTCCTGTTTCTTCAAGAATAGGATAAAGGGATGCATTTCTTGGTTTATAGAGAACATAGTAATTAGAGTAATGGTAGCTCATTTCCTGGAGAAAATAGTCCTCAATTCCTGTTGCACATATAAAAAGTATATTGAAGTAGAAAATATTTCTAGCAACTTTTTTTTTAATTCCTTAGGATTTGCCTCGAAAGGCACTCCAAAAATTGAACAGAGAAATCCCAAGCAAGCTGCCCGAATTTGCCTGTATAGTCTTGTTCTACATTATATAAAGGACCAGACAAATCAAATTGGTGTTTTTTGGTGAGTACACCTCCTAGGTTTTCTTCTTTTCCACTTAAGGAAGAACATAAATTTTCATTTCTCTCAACCAGGATATCTGCTGCTTAGACAATGTGTACCTGGTGTGTGTTTATAAAGCAATATTAGTGGTACATACAACATGATTAGTCCATTTGAACCCACAATATGAATCCTTGTTTCTTTGTACATTTTACATGTTGTGGCCTAAGAGGGAAACAGCTGCTTCTGTATGCGTGTGTGAACATCTGAGGATTTAAGAGACAAGGAATAACCATATTTTGCTTATAAATCTACCTCTTAAACCCCAATGGCATTTCAATCAGACTGTCAATGTGTGGGACACAAGGAAGGGTTCTTTGTACAAGCTGGACTAGGATTCAGTGTGATAGTAATCCTCATACCCTCTCGAAATTTCTGTTTCCTCCTCTGTAATATAAGGTAAAAATAACTCATGCCAGACTCCAATTCATAAGAATCCAGTGATTTACAGCTTATGTAAAAGCACTTTGACAACCATATAACTCTATAAATAGAAGGTAGAAGGTATTATTCTATGGGTGATAATCTTATGTGTGCCACAGCATAGGACTGGGGAGAGATGAAAGAGACTAAGCTGTTTGTTTGTTTGTTTGTTTGTTTGTTTGTTTGTTTTTGCGGCTGGCCGGTATGGGGAGAAAGAGACTAAGTTATGTAAGCCTCACCCTGAACCTCAAAAGCCAGCCCTCCACAGCCATAGCCATAGCCACAGCCACAGCCACAGCCATCACATCCTGGTTGCTGGTGACGCCAATGTGCCCAACAATTCCCCAAACAAAAAAGTCCCTTTTCATATCATCTAGGCTGGGTTTAGATTTAGTCCATTGAATTCAGGGACTCAGCTAAATTTTTTTGTAATTATTAAAGTTTTTCTTATTGTAAAAGCATAGTAATTGAACAAAATCTGGAAGTTATAGAAAAATATAAAATCTACCCACAATACAGAGATAAACATGATTAACATTATGGTATATTTACCCTTATTTTGTTTAAGTTTTGTACATATCTTTAAATATTATTTAGCAAGGTTAACATAGTTGAGAACATTAAGTAAGCATTCTAAGACAATGGCTAAGGCTTAATTTATTAACCATTTCTCTACTGCTGAATATTTGTGCTTATTACATTACATATAAATATATACTGTTATGTTCATTGCATTGTGTTATAAATACCACTGTAGTGAACATACTTGAATATAAATCTTTGCTTGTGTCTCTCATTATAAATTTCTATAACTGGAATCACTGGGCTAATGAGAATGAACTATTTAATGAACACTCGTAAAGCTCTTTATATTGTCAAATTGTCCTGCAGAAGTATACCAAATTATACTTGCCCTCCTGTCTATGCCTGCCCATCTTACATGACAATGTTCATTTTACTGTGCACATATAAAAATCGAATACAGATGGTCCCCAACTTATGATGGTTTGACTTAATGATTTTTTCACTTTACCATGTTGCAAAAGCGATTCGTATTCAGTAGAAACCATGCTTTGAATTGTGAATTTTGAATTTTGATCTTTTCCCGGGCTAATGATATACAGTATGATACTGTCTCATGATGCTGGGCCAAATCATCTAACACAAAGCCTATTTTATAATAAAGTGTTGAATATCTCGTGTACTTTATTGAATACTGTATTGAGTGTGTTTTGAGCATGTTAAAGGTAGGCTAGGCTAAGCTGTGATGTTCAGTAGGTTAGATGTGTCTGAACCCTTGACTTTTTGGTGTTGTAACACTGCACTCTAACCAACTGAGCTGAAACCAAAGGCATTTTCAACTCAGGAATCTTCAACTTATGATGGTTTTATTGGGACTTAACCACACCATAAGTTGAAGAGCATCCAAATTACCAATTTAAGAAGATTTAAAACCATAAATATTTCTACAGAAACTCAGAAAATAAAAGCCTATTCCCTCTCCTTTACCCAGTCCTCCCTTAACCAATATTAGGTCTCTAAAACAGAAGACAGTGTCACCCAATCTACATTGTGTGCCAAATTCAATCTCTCGAATCTGTCTGCAGAAAAAAGCATATGTGAGGCCTACATTCATTTACTTAGTATTGATTATTACCTCTTTTGTTTATTTCTGTGCTGTGTGCCTAGGAGTAGCTTAACATTCAGTTGATGAGTCCAGACAAACAACAAACTCAAAAGTACATAACCTTGGATAAGTCATTTACCTTCTCTAGCCCTATTTCTTCTTCTTTAAAATGAGAGGCTCAACTTGAACCCTGTTCATATCCAAAGAAAATCTGGAGTGGTTTGCAGTAAAAAATGTATATGTGAGCACATAAGGTGGTAAAAATAACAATAAGGATTATTATGTAGATAGCTAAGTTTAACTGTAAACAGCACGATGTGTTGTATAATTTTCATGGTCTGGCAGTGAAAGCCGATCAGTTATTTTAAAGAGAAAAGAACTAGACACTAGGAAAACTTTTTCAAGTTGATCATTTTTAAATATAAAAGTAAACTAATAGGAAAATCTTTTAAGATGACCTGTAAGGTTCCTTTTAGCTCTAACATTCCGTAACTCTTAAGTAATAGATAAAATACCAAATGCTAAAGACCTGCAAAGCAAAGGAGTGGTCACTGGGCTTTAGAGAGAGATTGATAGAATCATGAACAGGGGATGGCCCAGTGGCGCACTGCTACAGTGCGCCGCTTGGGAGCACAGCGGCGCTCCCGCCGAGGGTTCGGATCCCACATACAGACCGGCCGCTCACGAGGCGTGGGCGCAACACCAAGGGTTGCGATCCCGTTGCCGATCCCGTTGGCGGTCCCGGTCCGGTACGGGCGCGACACTGAGGGTTGCAATCCGTTGCCGGT